TGAGTATCAGAGAGCAGGCAGAGTTTCCCAAAAGCAGCAAATCTTCAGGGCCTGATTTTCAGAAACAAAACACATCTAATCATCTGCTCAGTTTTCTTCAGCATTAACCAAAAGTGTTTACACAAATGTAACAGCCAGTCACAGGGGTCTATTTACACATCTAACGAGGCCGGACTCTCACTGCAAAGTCAGAAGTGTGGGGCATGGGAGAAGACAACAAACTAGGGCAGAAAGCCCATGCAGTTCTCCATACCACAACAGACTCCAGCCAGGAGACCAGCTGACGCAGGCAGGGCTCCAGACAGCTCTGGTTCCGCTTCACTTTCTGCAGAGAAGTGTCTTTCAATATCTGGAATACATACAAGATGCAGCTTAAATCATAGTTACATCCACACTTTCCCCACATCTGCAGAGCAGCTAAGGTGCCAGGATCCAGAGAGGTCAAAGACATCCCCCTAACATCCTCTGGAGCCACACTGATGTACTGGTGTGCTCTCTGCTTTGGGGAACGGCTGTGAGCTAGATCAGAGGGTTCACCTAGGTTCAGCACACTCTGAGCCAGGATTTGGGCTTCTTTACTACAGTAGCCCACATGTTCCACACCAGTTTGTGGCAAACTGGAACTTTTTTTTTTGTTTTCAGGAAGGAACTCAAATTGATCCATCAACTTGCTGCTGGGGAAGGGACTTCATCAGCAACAGGACCTCCTACATCAGATGGTCAAACCCTTGATCTGGAATTAGGTCTGTGTAAAAAGTCCCCTCATTTTTAAAAGTTTGTGAAAGAGAGCAGGAAGCAACATCCCAGCTCAAAAATATTATCTTTCTGCAGCTGGATGCTTAGCTGGTCATTTTGTCTCTCATGGGGTTGGGGGCAACTGTGTGAGGAGAAGGACGTTAGGGATCCTCAGGCAATACACATCACACTGGAAGAGAGCAGCAGTAAAGAACACATTTAAAAAGCATCAGTGGAGAAAGGCAAATACCAGGCTGCAATGCCAACAAAAACCTCACCCTGGGAGCTCCACAATGTACCAGTTCAAAGTGACCTGAGGCATGTCTTCAGCAAAGTCAGATGTTTTATTGTGTCAGTAATCTACACACCGAGTGTCCAGCATTTGTATATCTATAAAGACAGTGTATACTCCCCACACACCTTCAGCAGCTTTGCCTTCATGGAAGCAGTGATCGAGGTTGGGTTGATGAACTGGAAGGATGGTGCAGCATTATTGGGATACTGGACAGGGAACATCACCAGCATCCTGACTCTGTGGTTGCCGCAGTGCACTGACACCGTACAGCTACGACTCACCGCATCCATCTGTGAGGAAAAGCAATTGCTCTCTAGTTAGATCTCCAGAGACTTTTAAACTTAAAGTGGCTTAAATTCATGCTGAGGGGCTGATTCCTCTGCACACCTGTAAGACGAAGTCAAGCTGTTCTCAAGGGCAGTAAACACAATGACAGCAAAAAACCCCAGGCAGATGCGGACAGATTCAGCTCACACCAGCAGTCTGCCAGTCCAGCATCCCACAGCCAGCCCAGGCTGCGTCCACCTCCCTCGCTCCCAGTGTCTGAGGTCATCCTCTTTCCTACTACCCTTGGCCAAGAGGATCTCTATAGCTCAAAATAAACCTTTACAGACAGCAGTCACTGCAGCAAAAAAGGTTGCCCTCAAAAAGATCCGATGAACCAGCCTGCCCACATCCCCTCCTAACAAGCCAGACAAAGGAATGTCTTTACCTCCACATTGACATTTCGGATCTGCACGTTGATCAGTGAAAACTCCTGCTGCAGGGTCTGGGGCAGCCCCAGCTGGTCTGTTTTCTTTCCCACCAAGGGGTCATTCAGGAAATCTTCTTTTAAGGCTGACAGGAAAGATGGAGAACAGGTTGAGACAAGCTAGAATAGACAGAATTTTGGCACACGATGCCAGGAGGCAGCCAAGACAGCAGGCTTCCCTCTGCTCTTCTGACACATGGAGGTATGAGTTTTACCTGGCAAAGACCTGGGAGCTGGAGGGTCTCAGCTGTTGTTTAGAGGCAGGCTTCTGAGCCTTGTTCTTCAAAAAAACCCAAACCCATCTGCACACAGGTTTCCCAGGAAGGTTACAGAAGCTGCCTGTACTCTGTACAGCCCTAAATGGTCCATCCCTGCTCATTTGAGACCCTCTTCTCCTCCCTACACAGTACTGCCAGAGTCACACACAGCTGAACTGCAGCCGCTCAGTTCATCAGGAAAGAACTGCTGCCAAAGTGGTCTCCAGGAGGAGCTCTGGTCTCTGGGACTCACACCCCATCACTCTTGGCTTTCAGGGAATGCTTCCAAAGCATAAGGCAGCTTTAGGAGAGAGAAGATGATATTTCTGGCCCTAGTAGAGACTTAATTCATTTGTAGCAGCTGTTTGCATTTAACATTGCAAAGCACTCTAGTGCTTTAACAGTCTTTAAAGACTCCTCTAAATGCTGGGTCTACCTATCTGGTTCCAACAGTTTTCTAGAGGACAATAACCCCTGAAGGCCAGAATACACTTCAACAGCCAGGTAAGTGCTGCAGGACACCAGGAATTATGGTCAGGATAGTGAACTTGACTGAGTTTCAGAAGAACTGGTCTCTGCCTGTGCTCATGCCTGGTATCTTGCTATGTACCCTCAGGGCAGGGGCAGCTCCTTCTGAAGGGGATTTCACTGTGGCACCACTTCCTAAGACCAAATCTATTTTTTTTATGATGGTTCCAAGGACACAAGGGAAGTTCTGATTATTCAGTTGTCATTCTCATGCTTGCAATGTCATATTGCACAGACTATTCCTAGCAAAACCATAAATTACAAGAAATGCAAAAAGCTGTCCTTTTACAAGCTTTTGTCTAAAAGTCACTGACTTTGCTGCTGGGACAAAAATATCTGGTTTTACTGCTGCCCAAAGGGTTGCTGAATTTGGATAGGTAGGATGCTTAGCTACTCATTCCTTTTTGTGATTTTATTGTAGTGCTTAGATATACTTCACAAAAGGGAGCTGGAAAAGGGATTAAAGGAAGATCAGTGGCTCTCAGGGAAGATAATTATTTCTAGCTCAAGACACCACACAGCTTACTGAAAAGCCATCTCTGAGGTTCCCAGTATGGGCAGTACCCCCTGTCTTTGTCTTCTCCTTCCATTCCCTTCCAATTAGTTTCTAATCCCCAAAAGCCCGTGTATTTGTCTAGATTCCTACAGATCCTTTCTAGGCAGCAGGCAGCGAGGAGAGCTGTACACAGAAGACACAGCTGGTGAGCTTTCTGATTTATCTGCAGAGCACTGTTCTCTTCAAAGATGGCCCAAAGTGCTTTACTAATATAACATGGAGACTTTGCAGCAGAGATGCAGCCACTGCCAGGGTGAAACATCAACAGCCCACAGTAGCTTTTAGGCTAAAAAGAACCAAAATTCCTATCTAGGGAGCTACTTATGCATTGATCCTGCAGTCACAGGATTTGCAGCAAAATCTACCCTGTTACAGAAAAGCCATTTTCATTCCCTATGGCCACAAGGGAAACCTTAATCTGAACCAAAGCCAGACCCACACAAACCACATAGGAAGTGTGAATGTGACCTCATCAAGGACACTGAAAGAGTTAACCTTCTCCTATGGAAAAATGGAGGTCAGGTAGCCAGAATGGGAACACTTCATGCTCCCAGTTGGAGCAGGAGAGGCTGTGCTGCCCCACACAGTGCTGCTCAGGGTGAGCACAGGTAACCGGGGCTTTTCCTACCATATTACAAAACTCTCATGTACACAGAGGTGACAACTTTTAGAAACTTTTTCTGGTGCCACATAGGACAGGTGGCAGAGAGGAACTTCACTGTGATTCATGGGGTGGAAAACTTGCAGTTAGGAAGAGATGTCTTCCCTAAGGGTCCTCACAGCTGGCTCCTTTATTCAAAGGACAGTTATTAGACCACTTCCTCCCCCTCCCTCTAGTTGGCTGGCAAGTCAAAGGGAGAATCAAATTGTTTTCCTGGAAGCCCTTCCCATGGGGATCCATTGTAGCACCTGCTACAATACAGAAAGGAACTGTGAATTTCACAGAACCATAGAATCATTAAGGTTGGAAAAGACCTCTAAGATCATCAAGTTCAACCATCAACCCAACACCACCATGCCCACTAGCCCATGCCCCTCAGTACTATGTCTACACAACTTAAATCTCTCCAGGGATGAGGACTCCACCAGCTCCCTGGGCAGCCTGTTCCAATGTCTGACCACTCTTTCAGTAAAGAAATGTTTCCCAATATCCAATCCAAACCTTCCCTGGCACAACTTGAGGCCATTTCCTCTTGTCCTATCACTAGTTACTTGAGAGAAGGGATCAACATCCCCACCTCTCTCCACCCTCCTTGCAGGGACTTGGACAGAGCCACAAGGTCTCCCCTCAGCCTCCTTTTCTCCAGGCTCAACAACCCCAGTTCCCTCAGCCGGGAACTCAGCACACTTGTGCTCCAGACCCTTCCCCAGCTCCGTTGCCCTTCTCTGGACACACTCCAGCACCTCCATGTACTTCTTGGAGTCAGGGGCCCAACACTGAACCCAGGCCTTGAGGTGTGGCCTCATCAATACTGAGTACCAGGGCACGATCACTTCCCTGGCTTTGGTTCCCAAGCTGACACAAAGGCATGGGAGCACCCAATCCTTATTCCTCAGTATCAGATATAGAAATCTCTTTAGACAGCTTTTTCACTTGCACACCATCACCATGGGTCTCAGTTGCTGCAATCTCTTCTGGTACTTAAACTCTTCAAACAATAACACCCTGAATGTTTAACCTGGCCAGAGCCTTAACCACACAAACCCCTTCTTTGCATTCCTTCCTTGTATGCCTTCTCTTCCATAGAGTCAAATCAGTGCTTTCTGTTCAAGCCTCTGATCCATTCCAATCCACCCATCTGGTACTCAGAAGGCAGAGATACCATCCCTCCCCCTCTGCTCTGCCAGTGTTCAGCCACCTCTCATCAACACACGAGCAAAAATTCACGAGCTCTCTCCATACGACTTCTGGTGGGTGGGAGAAGACACGAGCAAGCACCTTCATGTTAGATCAGCTCACACACCCCAACAGAAGTGTTTACGTACCGGGTGTGATGTAAGCAGCTTGTGTCAGAGTGTCTTACCAATACGCTTTCCTCTTCTGTGGGATCATCCCTCAGCTTAAACTAATCTACCTTCTTAAGAGCCTTACTTTTGGCAGCAAGCTACAACTATGACCTAAAGAGAATGCAATTGAATTATATGAGTGACAAGGAAGAGCTTCATTCTACAGCCAGAATGACATCATTGTGTTAGAGGAGAAAAAGCTTAGGAGAGAAACCCCTGGTTTTCCCTTGTCCCAGATAGGGAATCCATTAATCTTCGGAACAGCACCAGTCTGCGCTTTGCCTACAACATTGTTTTCTTACACCAAGATGCATCATCTTCCCAACACAAAGACAACTGGTGGTTGAAGTTCCATGACCCATCAGTTGCCTCACCTTCCTCATCCCCATGCCCAGAGTTATGCTGGGGCTCAGAGTCCTGGGGGTGAAGGGTCTTGTCTGGCTCTGGCAGATGAGAAATCCCATCGATGAGGTCCTCGACTCCATCCAGGATATCGTTGGCGCACAGCTGAAAAGCACAAACACACACCCATGTGTTGGACAACAGAAACCAAGCTGTGGAAAGAGCCACCACTAAACAACTCGTTTCTCCAGGAAGCTGGATTTGCAAGGTACGTCTGTCCACACAACAGTAATGACTAAGACCTCGGCATTGCTTCCGTGACAGACGGGTTATCTTCCACTCTCCAGCATCCTCAGCTCTGTCACCTCGGACAGCCTGGCCAAACCTCCTGCTCGCTTACAGAGTCAGTTAACTGACAGGGCCAGCCTACGTAACAGGGGTTTTATTTTAATCAAAACTAAAGCTGATGTGACTAATTCCTTGAATTAATTTCTCAAAACTGGTTTACTTTTTTAGATTACATACAATAGTAACACACTTTCTGCTTTTGATATTTACACTCCAGTGGGATCTAGAGACCCAGGTATACTACGTATATGTGTGTGTGTGTGTATATATATATCTATATAGGGACCCTAGTATTCTAGGTGCTGTATGAAAAAGAGAGCATGAAAGCTTGTATTTGGACAAGAAAACAGGGAAGATGAAGAGAAGAAACACAGGGAGGAGAAAGGATAAGGTTGCAATGTAGCAAATTACAGCATTGGTCACCAGCAACATGCCATCATGTGTGTAGTTTGATCCAGACAAAGACAAGGACAAAAGAGTGGGAGCCAGCAGAGGAGGAGTAAAGGCTCTGACAAGGATGAACAATTGGTTTAAAGACAGGAAAGAAATCAAATATTCGCAAATGTATCAGGTAGGAGGAAAGGGTCATTTTTCACAGAGAAGGTTTGTTACAGACCTGCAGGACTCCTGCACGATCTGTGCTGGGACACATGCTTCTCAACATAGTCAGTAAAAACCCGGAACAGGAGGTGAATAGTGACATGACCAAGTTTGCTGATGCCACCAAGTTATCCAGGGTAGTAACAAGAGTGACTGACTGCAAACAATCACGGAAGGACCTTACAGGAGTAACTGTATTAAAATGAAAGATGAACTTCAGATAAATATAAAGAAATGTCTACAGGGGGAAAAAACAGCAAGTTGAAGCTGACTGAGGGAACAGGATGTAGAGGCCAGACTAAGCTGATGTTTTCATGGAATTATGCCTGACAATTAAAAAAAAAGTACTGGGAATTATTTGGAAAGAACAAAGTTCAGTTTCCCCATCCCAAGAAGTATATAGTAGAGCTGAAAAAGGGTCGTGAAAGGCAGAAGGACAATCAAAGTTCTTGTACAAGGGATGAAGTAAATCAAGATCTTTTGAACTGAAAAAGGAGGCAGCTGAGGAGGGCTATGATGGAGGAGAGGTCTACAGGATCATTAGTAGTACAGACAAGATGGCTGCTCATTTAATCTTCAATGCAAGGAAACTAGCAGGTTTCAAAATAAACAATTGAAAGGAGCTGGTTTTCCACACAACATGGAGAAAAGCCATGAATCATAGAATGGTAGAGGTTGGAAGGGACCTTAAAGCTCATCCAGTTCCAACCCCTCTGCCATCAGCAACCTTCCACTTAACCAGGTTGCTCAAAGCCTCATCCAACCTGGCCTTGAACGCTTCCAGGGAGGAGCAGCCACAGCTTCTCCGGGCAGAAGAAACTCCTTGTTTAAGATGACAAAAATTTACACATGTCCAAGTAAAGACAGAACAAGTCTATGGAAGTGAAACTCATCAAGCTCTGTCAAATGCAAAGATGCCAGACTCAATGAGCCTCTAAGCTGCAAACTGCAGAAGGCTGGTGAGGGAAACATCACTCCATACTTGCCTCACTCTTACCCTCTTCCAAGACATCAGCAACTGAAGCTGAGACAGGGCAATATGGACCATTGTGGCCGTATGAACCTCTGGTCTGACCCAGCACAGCTGTTCTAGTAATTGCATCAGCAATTTGTAACTGCTGCCAGACTGCAAACCAACAGGATTCACACTGTCTGCACCAGGTTGAGAGGCAATGGAAACAAGGGGAGGAAGCAGAGGGCACAATCCCTGCATTTACCTGGTATCTAAAATGCCAGGAAGAGAGTCATAGTCTTGCAGCCATGGAGGTGGCATCTTCAGAGACAATGCAAGCAGTAACTGATCTCCACCTTCTCCAAACAACTAGCACACTGACTGTTATACAACAAAATGGCCTTGCAATTACAGAGAAACTTTCGAGGCACAGGCACAGAGAGGCCTCATCACAGGTCTCCTCAAGGATTTCTGGGCTGGAGCTGAAGAGGAAAGTGAAGCAGCAGCTGGTTGCTGTGTCTGCCGCTCTAGGATACCAGAGGAGTGACTGGGAGTGCAAGGAAAGGGAGGGGAATCCAGTCTGTAAGAAAACTGTCTACAGTTCAAGAGCAAAAGTGTTGACGTACCCTCTGCAGCTGAGAGTCAATCCGCCACATCCGCAGCGTCTGATCACGGGACCAGGTAACCAGCTGGTAGTCCTTAGAGCCTAAAAAGGACAGAAACAACTTATGGACCCTGCTGAAAACAGAGACTATCTCAGCCCTGCGTTTAGTGTAGGCAGATTCAAGCAAGCCAGCAGGGAGATCCAATGGATAAGGTATCAAACCAAAAGGCAGAGTGAGTCCTGGGCCACTTTGAACTGACCCAGGTGCACCAGCCTTTATATGCCTGCCTGCCATGGTTACCACACCCCTACATGGGCTACAATTTACAAGCAAAAAGCACAATATAAGTACAATGAATGTGATTTGAGTTTTCCAACTACGAAGGAACAAGCTCTACTACAATACTTACTTAAGCAGGAGAAATAATATAGTTCAAAAATTGATTTTTTTTTTTTACAATAACTGTAAAATCAAAATATCTTTTAGTTTACTGTATGTTTCAAGATGCAGATGTTTTAAAACATTTCTAAGCTAAGAGAAATGGTTCTACCCTCACCATTTTTCCTTCTGAGACTTGGATGATGCCAAGACAAGTTCAAATTGTAATAAAATATATCTAGCCACATACTATCTGTCAATAGATAAAGGTACACAGACTTATTTATATCCATGTGCAGGTCTTGTGATACAGTTTAAGTTTCCCTTGTCAAACAGCTGCTGTGTTTAGGAATTTGCTGCTGCACAGCTGCTTCCTACACCCCTCTGTTGAGGCACAGTGGCTGTCTAAATACAGCACAGCAGACTGTGGAAGGAGATTTGTGCTATCTTGGTTGTCTCTGCATTGAAGCAGACTTGGAATGCTTGTATGATGGATTTATGTTGCTTCGGATGAGCACGACTTCCAGCCTCAGATATAGATCCATGAAGTCAGCTAAGACAACACAACTGTGGTTCAAGTCTGCTGGAAAGCTCATTCACAAGCTGTCTTAGACTGCGCCTCCAGATTCTGGGATGGTTTTACATCACTCTCCTCTTTCTGAAAGAGGAAAAGCAAAGCACAGAGAAAAAGGTGACTTAACTGAATTGCCCCAGCAGCTGGTGGCAGAGGGTTGGACTAGAACTTATACACAGCACTGCAAAGCAGCACCACAAGTGACACCAAAGCCAGACGTGCGTGTTCTGTCGATGGCAGCTGAGGTGCTGGAAACAAAGCTGTGCTCTGTGTGGTTATCCAACCTCGAATGTGGAATCTCCTATATTTAGCTGCCTACACTGGAAAATTTAGTCAGGATTGAACTCTGATCCCACACTCTTCCTTCCCTGCCTTTGCCAGCACACAGATAAGGTGGGTTTGCTGGGTCTGTGGGCTGGGATATGCTGGAGGTTGCTGATCTAGGCAGTGGTGAGAGGGGTTAACTGGTTAGGCTGCAGCTCTGAACAGGGGGAGGGTGCCTGCACTCCTACACCCATCTAATAGTTTGTACAATTTATTCTGAAAGATCCATTTAAAAATAGCCTCACAGGAGAGTGGAAGCAATTAGAGTCACCACTGACCCACTCAGCATTTGGTAGATTTGCTTTGTTAGCATGGAAACAACAGGGCAACGCTTCTTTAGGCAGTGCCATAAAACAAGTACAAAACAGCTGTAACTTGAAGGGGGGGCAGGAAAGTGGGCAGGAGCTACTCCAAGGAAAGACAAGATTCAAATGGTGAAAGCACAACCATCACAGCCAGGAGCCAGGCTTCCACATCCCTGGTTAGTCAGATGGCTGCAGTGGAGGGGAGGGAGCACACCCAGCCCTGAACTCACCTTCTTTCTGCTTCCTCCACTGAAACTCCAGCACCACGTCATCATGTCCCACAAACGTATGGACAGGGGTGTTCAAGTCAAAGACATTCCAGAGGAGGAGACTGTTCTCTCGCCGGAGCTGGGGGACCATCACTGTCACCAGCCCATTGCTGAAAGGCTGGAGAGAAAACACCCTTCCAGTTATCCTTGGAGGATATCGACACACTCTCTTCAGGCACCCATGCTGCTGTTATCATACTCTATTTTTTTCCCCTTTTCCCACCAAGAAGATTGTGTGGATTTTAAAGGGGCTCAGCACAAAACAGAACCAGGCCTAAAACCAGGAGGGTCTAAGGCAACTGCTGTGCAAAACCAGTGTCTTACAAGGGATAAGATGTAGCACACAGATATTCAATACAGCTCACATAAGATTAATCATTTCTTTCTGCTGCTTCCTCAATTTTCAGCTGTGAGGCTGGAGGGATTTCACCCTTGATTTTTCACATGGGATCCTTATGGCAATTCGCCCAGAGCTGCAAGAACTTCTGCCTGGGGACTGAGCCCCAGCAGCTGCTCAGGGTCATGGTGCTCAGAGGAACACTGGAACCCAGTCCTACACCCTCCACCATGGGGATGGGGAAAGGGGATCAGAGACTCAGCACTGGCTTCAGGCTGTATTCAGATGTTGGGGGAAGAGAATGGATATGACTGATGTTAAGAGCCTTAGCTTCACTTGGCTGGGTGCTTGCTCTATAAAAGGCAACAGTTCTTAGACTTGATATGCTGCAAGAGCCTACTGTGGCACACTTGAAAACCTTGGGAGTAGAGGAGGCACTCGGAGAGGGCAGAAGACCACTGCATTGCTCTGTGCACAGGTATCAATACCAGAGCTGAGTGGAGAAACAGGACAGCAAGAGCAGCAGCTGCTTTCCGAGCCTCCTGCTCCCAGAGCCAACCTCCTGCACCTGAGTTTTTCATCCCAAAGAGGATGATGCCAAATACTGGGATCTCACACTGCCAGTCACTCTTTCTCCTGAGTGCCACCATTGTAGACAACACTTTCCTGGGCTTTTTAAGCAACAAGAGGAATTCTAAAAATCAACTTAATCATGTCCAGTAGTAGAATTGGTGAGAAGCCCTTCAGCAGTTCTTTATTTAATATCTCTTTGTGCATTTGCTCTCATGGCACAAGTAGGGCTGGTGGGAGTTTCTCACTCACCGTGTATCTTGCCTTCCAGACAGGAACCTGGCAGGGAAGGATACTGAGGTATTTCCGAGGCTGACGGTAATCCCAGAACTTGAAAAACAAAACAAAACAAAACAAAAAAACAAACCCAAAAAGACAAGCAAAGGCAGGAGTCAACTGGCTATACTTTCAGGCTGCAGTTTTCCATGTGGCTTGCAGATATAACAGAGCGAAAAACATGCCAGGGTGTGCACAGCATCATCAGTAATCCCAATCATTAACAGCAGAGATGGCCTCAAAGGACAAATATCAAGCTATCAGCATCTGGCAGCATCCCTTAGACAACAAGTGACTTGGGGTCACACTCACAGTGATCATAGCTTGAGTAATTAGAGCAGGGAGACAGGCAGCCTGCTTGGGCTTACAGAGCTACAAGGTACCCTGCAGGCTCCCAGCCAACGTGCCAGTCCAGACTGGAGGCAGGCCCACCCTGCTGTTACTGCTGCCTCTGTAATGAAGAATCTAACCTTTTGCTTTGCTGGAATACACATCAATTGCATCTGCCTCGGAGCTCAGCTACATATGAATGAACTCCACTTGGCTGACATACAAAGCACACTATTTCCCCCAAGTAAAAGGTCCTGCCTAGCAATGCTTGCAGGCAGCATCTTACTGATAACCCAATTCAACATGATTTTAGGAACTCCAGGGGCTGCAGTGTGTCTCCCCTCAAGTTGCTGTAATCAACTTGAGGCTGGCAACATTGCATTTTGGGGAGAAGGCTCTTCTGGCATGCGTGGCCAGCTCTCTTCTGGCAAGCAACAGGCAGAGGCGGTTGTTTTCAGCTTCAGTACTGCCCAAACCACCACAGATATGTGGCAAACATATGAGCACCCATCCTGCAATGACTTTCCTGCCTGTTCTGGAAGCACACCTGGCTCAACACACTGAGAAAACAAAAAATAAGGAACCAGATCTTGCCAATGGCAAGCACCCCCCAAGACTCCATCAGCAGTAGAAGGGGATCTGCTTCACCACCCTGACATCTCCCAAGCAGGAATCCCAGAAGCAACACTTACCCTGACAGAGTTGTCCTGGCTGGAAGTGGCCAACGTATACTCATTGTCAGGATGCCAATCCAGACCGTGGATTTTAGAGAGATGAGCTGCCAAGTACTCTACTGCAGTGCTGGGTTTCTGCAAGGAGAAACATTTTCTTCCTCAGCACAGGACTCCAGAAATTTGGTCTAGTTCTTTGGCATAAAAAGAGACACTTGAACAGAGGAAAGAGGTGGGACACCCTCCTGCTGGGGAAAGGCAAATAGCTCAGCAAAAGCAGTTGAGGGAAAGGTGCTGTGAAAGTATGGCAAATTCCAGTCACCAAGTGCAGCTCTGAGCCATGCTTTATATTCAGTAAAACAGTTAAGTACTATGAGATCAAAAGCAAAACGTTAACGGACACAGTTTCTGGGGAAGGAGGATATCGACACGCTCTCTTCAGGCTTGTGGGTTCCCAAATCTCTATAGTTCAAATTGACCCACGAGAGAGATCTGGCATAAAGTCGTAATTTTTCTCAGTATTTATCTGTGACCAGAGGAATATCTGTATTGGCTAAGTGGGAATAGGCACAGGATGCTCAAGAGACCCTCAACTCACCCTTTTGTCCCATATTCGGACATCTCCATCGTGGCTTGTTGCTAAACAGTTGGCATTTTTCTTGTTCCATTTGACCTGGGAAGCTCCAGCTGTAGCATAAACAGAGCAGGTCAAAACAAGGAATTAAAAAGTGGCACAACAGACCCTTGGCCTGGGCTTAGAGGTGGAGTTCTTAACACAGCTAAGGCAGTTCAGAGGAAAGATATCCCAGAAAGCAGCACAAAGGATGGCATGGAAAGGATTTACTCCCAATTCTCAGCTCTGCATTTGTGTCCTAAGGACCTCAAAGCAAGACTGTTCCAGTTACAGGCTTAGAGATCTCCACCTCAATTTCTAGCCATGGGCTGTACCTGATTAAATACTCAGTCCACAAGTTCAGGTGGAGCAACTTTCTCCAGACAAGAACTGCAGGTTCACCACCCAATCCCAAATATCTTCTGTTTACATCCAAGCTACCTCCAGGTGCTCAAGGATTGATTCATTTGCCTCCCCAACACCCTCTATACTACCTGATGCTACACAGGGAATCAGTGCTATTGATCTATTACTAAAATACAGGTGTAGGAGAAGGCTGCAGTGCAGACAGACCTTGAGTTTGGCCAGCTGGAGGCAGACTCACTGGGTGGACCAGAAGACCCAGCTGTCAAAATACACCACAGAAATCAAAGCCATCAATGGTGTTAAAAAGAAAGTGGATGATGGTCCAGATATGATTCTACGATATCATGAGGGACTCAGACAAGTGCCTAAATGCAAAGTTGGTTGGTTATTTCTAATAAGCTTCAGTTGATGTGGATTGTTCAGACACTGTAAGAGAAATACAGGTTCTGTTCAGCCTTATTCTGCCTGTATTTTCAAAACAATTTAACCTATCAGAAAGGTGAGATCTGTGAGAAAGCTAAACAGATCTCAGCCGGCTGCTATTCCTCACCTCCTGCTGCACATCCTGACAACCTGGCAGAAAGCTAGTCTAGGGGGAAAAAAAGCTGCAAATAGGCTGCCATTTGATTGATTCGATCCACTCACTGAAGGTTACACAAATGTCTGGACCAGCACTAAACAGAATCAGGAACAGGAGGATGGAGCTTTCTGGGGAGCTAGCTGCTGGGCTGGCTCAGCTGAACTGTGGAACCTCAACCCAGGCACCAGAACCAAACTCTGCTTCTCCCTGATTCAGTAAGGTTTTTGCATCACTGTGACAGAGAGGTTTGCTGGCTGGGAGGGAACGGGGAGCCATGCAGATGCTTAGCCTAAGGAGATTTAAGCAGCAGAGCTCGAGAGATCCATAATGTGGGGGTTGCTGTAATACTGGGGCCAGTAACTCAGGAAAAGGACATTCTGATGGTCACTCGTACTTCACCCCGTTCCAACACGCAGCCGGTGAGGACGGACACACAGCACCTGCCAGCAGGCAGCTTTACAGGCGGCTGGACAACTGCTCTGCCAACAGCCATGACAAGCGCCTTTCCAGAGCGAGCACAGCCCAAAGAGAGCACCTTCGTGTCACCACTGCAGCTGCCTGCAGGCTGAAGGGGCCCCAGGGAGGCAGATCCAGCCGGTTCATGTAGCCAGCCCCTCGGTAAGGAAGGAGGCAGGCTGGCAGTCAGCACCATTCCACACCACTGCCTGCGGTGCGATTTAGTTTCTCAGCTGATTCAATCAAACATAAAAGGATGTGGAGAAATTGCAGACAGATAACACAGGACAAGCAGTGCAGCAGGGTGGTTTAGCAGGAAAGGAGCTACTCATGTTTACAAGGCACAAATGCCATGTGACTGTCCACCAATTTTAGGACAGACAGTCCAAGCACCACCAGTGCCCTCTGCACCTGGGAATCTCCAAGGGCTCCACATCCCCTCTGAATTCTGCTCCTTTAAAAGGAATGGTGAACTGGAGCTTCTCAGGCTGCTACTAGATGGGACAATCACACGTAGTGGCACTTCTGTATTCTGCCACGTTCAGCCTTGGAGCATGAAAGGAGGGAGGGCTAACAGCAGGGGCACACAGCCCTGACTGTGGGTATTACACAAGCCTGTATCACACACTTGCCATACTCACCGACCGCAGAGAGCGAGACTGTAGGCTTCCTGGTATCTCTGAAACACAACATGGCCAATGTGAGTACTCATAGAATCCCAGAACTGCCTGGACTGGAAAAGCTCTTTAAGCTCATCAAGTCCAACCATGAACCCAACACTGACAAGTCCCCGACTAACCCATGTCCCTCAGCACTATGTCTACACCACTCTTCAATCCCTCCAGGGATGGGGACTCCACCACTGCCCTGGGCAACCCCTTCCAATGCCTCAGAACCCTTTCAGGAGAGAAATTCTTCCTCACATCCAATCCATGGCATAGCCCGGTCGGTCCAGCCTCCCCAGTAAGCTCCTTGCTATTCCAGGACTAATTTTATTGCTGCCTCTTGGGAACTGATGTGCTTTCTGCTTACCAAAATACACCACATTAAATGGAAGAAAGAAAGAGGTGACCAGCTGGAGGACAACAGCCATTCTGTCTTGTTACCACATACAGCAGCAAGTTTAGGACATAGGATGAAACTGGAGGGGATGAGAGGGAGGAGAAACACATGCCAAGTGTGGCATGTTGCAGCCGGGCAGGCAAGGAAACTGGGCTCATGAAGTGTTGCTGCAGGAAGCAACAAAACAGCCCTTCCCAGGAGGATTAAAAGGAACAAAGAGAGCTGTGGAAAAACTCGACAAAAGCCACTGATGCATTTGTCAAGCCTTTGCAGACCCTGATTCAAGGCAGATGGAGCAGTGATTTCAGAGCAAAGACTTCACATCTAGTATATAACAGCAAAATTAGTAGGAAATAAGCCCAGCTGTGTGCAGACTCTACAGACTAAATTCTGCGGTGGTAGAAGCCAGTGTGGCACCATGACAACTGCTAGCAGCCAGGACATGGATCCTTGACCTTGCTCCTCAGGAACTCACCTGCCCTTTCATGAAAAAATGCCACTGAAAATTAGAAATATTGCCTTCAGCTTTTTGTGGTTGCTGAAAAGCAGAACATTTTCTGGAATGGACCACACCTCTCCCTCTAAGAATTTCTGCCTAAACAAAAAGTTATTTCATAGGAAAGATTAAGCAGGAAATTTCCAGCTACCCTTACTGCAGGGCTACATCCCTAGGGTGTCATAAGAGACAGCCACTTCAGTAAGATGTTCATTTGCTGGAGGTCAGCAGCCCCAGGACCTCACTGCTCCAGCAGGCTCAGAGACCTCACCAGCACAAGTGGGATGCAGGCTCTAATGAGAGACCTAAGCAAGCATTTCTGGACACACGCAGACACCAAATGATGGAAGGGCACAACAGAGTTAAAGCAGAGCTGATAACAACCTTCAGAGAACTCTGTTTTTCGCTTGGCACTAAGATAGTATCACAGGAAAACACAACCAGCAGTTATTCTCTCTCTATGTCTTTTAATTACACATTAATACCATATTGCCATTCTCAAGCGCCATTTAACCAAGGATCTAAGTGCTTCATAGGAGCTCAACAAGCCTCGGGGTAGTCTGGTCCAGTGGGGTTATATAATTATCCTCCTATTATAACTGAGCAAGGGAGGCAGAGAGTGACTTGCCAGGGGTCATAAAGATTTGCTGTACAGCCAGCAAGAGAACCCAGCAGTCCCAGTGCCAGCTCCTTGCTTCTCAGGTATGAAATGTGGGGAATTATTATCTGTTACTCTGAAATTACTCATGATAGAAAGCACCAGGAAGCAAGCAAAGGCATGAACAGGAAAAGCTTCCTGAATACCACTGCCAGTCTTTCCATCAGTGAGGGAAGAGTCAGCAACAATCACTGAATTTAGTGGAAAACAGCTGCAGGATCATGAAATGGTGCTCATACATTCAGCTAAAAAAACCCCAACAGGTTGAGGAACACCCTTGGGTTCCAGGAAAAACTCCCAAGGAAAGATCTGGAGTGGGCAGGGAGTGAAGCCAGCCGGTATTTTTTTCTAATCAGGAGCATGACTGTGGCTTAACTGCTCTTTATTGACTCTGAACAGGCTTGAAAGCAGGGAACAGAAGTCATCTTTGAGATGAAGGGAAGCAGATGAAGCTCCTGCAAGTAGAGCTGAAGAGCAGCACTCATCAGCGCGTGCCTTGCCCTGCAAGCTGCTAATTATGGAAAGGAGTCCAGTGATTTTCCCGCAGTACAGAAACATATTGGTTCTTACTTGATGTCCCAGATGTAGATGTACGTGTCAACAGAACTGGTGACCAGCAGGTCTGGCTCAAATACCGCCCAGTCCAAGTCACTGCAAACGTAAAATCACAGTAGGTCAGCAAAGAAAAGTGCACACAGTTTCCATCAACTTCTCACAAGCCCCCAGTGCATTTCTCTGACAAATTCATGGCCACTCCACAACATCTACTGAAACTTTTTAAGTAAAAAGCAAGATCTAAATAATTTATCTAAGGAAGTTCCAAGAAGCAACTAAATGCTTCTAAGTAACTTCCATTGAAGCATCCTCCTAGCCCCGAACTTTACACCTATTGCGTGTGTACTCTTTCCTCCACAAGAAAAGGGACACTGACTCAGGGAGTTCCCAGTTACCACACATTCTCAGCATCAACCCTTTGCTCTGGGATACCTACCTGTTGGGCTCACCAGGTGCACCTGCGACACAAACAGCCTCCAGTCAGCCATTTCAAGGGTTGCAATTACTTTCCACATTCAGGAGCTGGAGTAAAACCAGTCCTTCACCTGTATTTTCAGCCCAGTGCTAACATACAACCCTAGAACCAGAGGCAGAAATCTCCCCTGCACTGCTATAACACACTGTGAACTTGATGGTTGGGATTGCCTGCTTTAATTAAGCTGCTCTCACACAGAAACACGGCTGGGATTCAATTTAACCAACGTGCTGCTATCTGTTTCCCAGATGATGGCTGCTGTTCATTACAAGGACAGCAGCCTAAGGCAATGACACTCAAGCCATCAAAGGCTAAGATGATATACTGGGGGGAGCCATGAGAGGGTGAGCAGCTTCACAGCTTCCAGATGGGAAGGCAGGGCAGAGGGGCAGACAGGACAGTCCAGGAAAGTCAGTACAAATGGGCTCAGAGCAGAGCCCGAGCAGGAGCAGGACTGAAACATTCACAGAGGAGGGCTACAAAATTGGGGAAGGGTTTAGAGGGGAAGCTCTGTGAGGAGAGGCTGAAGTCACTTGGTCTGTTCAGCCTGGAGAAGAGGAGACTGAGAGGAGATCTCATCACAGTCTAGAACTTCCTCCCAAGGGGAAGAGGAGGGGCAGGCACTGATCTCTTCTCTCTGGCCACCAACGCCAGGAAGATGTGGCAGGGGAGGGTGAGGTTGGCCATGAGGAAAAGGTTCTTGAGGCAGAGGGTGGTGGAGCACTGGAACAGGCTCCCCAGGGAGGTGCTCATGGCACCAAGCCTGACAAGATTCCAGCAGCATTCGGCCAAGGCCCTCAGGGACATGGTGTGAATGTTGGGCTTGTCCTGTGCAGGGACAGGAGTTGGACTCCATGATCCTGGTGGGTCCCTTCCAACTCACAACACACTGATTCTACCTTCTGTGAAGCAACCCATCATTTTCCATCCAGCAGTCCACAGCATCATTTGCTCCTCACCTGATCACACGTGTGTGTCCTTGCAGCGATGTGCAAACTTCACCATTACCTTCCTTCCACTTATACAGGTCAACTCGCTGATTGCTCTGAAATTAGATGGAAGAAAGGAGACTGTGTCAGATGAACGAGGTAGGACAGGAATCCGTGTGTCACGACCAGGTTCCCTCCTCTTTAAAAACCTCAGTTACCAATGAGTCACACTGTGGGTAGTGAAGTCCTTGCCCAAAGCAGGAGAGCAAAGATGAATCTACAGGCTGCAAGTACTCTCAAAGGTTACACTTTAATCACATCCACTTAAAAATGGAGATAAACAAGAATGCAAGAAAAAAAAAAAATCATCACATTGCAAAATGTTTCCATGAAATGATGTTCTCGGAGCTTTTATTTCCTAACAACATGCTGTAACCGCAGGCAACGGGCAGCCAAATTCTCTCTGCAGGAATATTCTGCCAGTCTGTTCGGATTCACAACTGGAGTTTTCAGTGAGGAGGATGATGGATCACCACTGATCCTCCTCAACTCTCCCGATTCCCTTCTGGGATAATCAGGGCCATTGCCAAACACAAACAATACAATCTAATGGATTCAAGGTCACCTCCTCAAGGGTACTGCCACCCTTGCCCGCCCAGGAAAAAAAGCCTTAAGTGCTTATCACTAACAGTAAACCACAGAGGCAAACCAGATGAATCAATGACAACATTATTTAGGGTTTTTTCAATCATTCCAGGAATCAATCCTCCCCCAAATGCAGCCACACACATAGTTACTTGATACTAGTTATTGTGCTTTAAGTTCATGTTCTGCCTCAATCACGGTTCACTTCAGCCCAGACAAATCACAGAATCATAATTGGTTTGGGTTGGAAGGGATCTTGAAGATCATCCAGTTCCAACCCCCCTGCCATCAGCAGGGACACCTTCCACTAGACCAGGTTGCTCAAAGCCTCATCCAACCTGGCCTTCAACACTTCCAGGGAGGGGGCATCTACAACCCTTGGGCAACCTGTTCCAGTGTCTGACCACCCTCACAGTGAAGAGCTTCTTCCTAATGTCTAATCTAAACCTCCCCTCTTTCAGCTTAAACCCATTTCCCCTTGTTTTGTCATTAACTGCCCTTATGAAAAGTCCTTCCCCAGCTTTCTTGTAGCCCCTTCAGGTACTGGGAGGTCGCTATAAGATCTCCCCGGCGCCTTCTCTTTTCCAGGCTGAACAGCCCCAACTCTCTCAGCCTGTCTTCATAGGAGAGGTGCTCCAGCCCTTGCATCATCCTGGTGGCCTCCTCTGGACTTGTTCTAGCTGCTCCAGGTCTCTCTTGTGCTGGGGGCTCCAGAACTGGACGCAGTATTCCAGGTGGGGCCTTACAAGAGCGGAGTAGAGGGGCAGAATCACCTCCCTCGACCTGCTGGACACGCTTCTCTTGATGCGGCCCAGGATACGGTTATTGGCCTTCTGGGCTGCAAGCGCACATTGTCTGCTTGTGTTAATCCAGTATTTCTGGGCAGGAATTGCCTTGTTGGGTGCACATATAGCACCAGGCACAGTGGGTTTTGGGTCATGACTGGAAATTCATATTGATTTTGCAAAACCAGAACTTCAAAATTTGATCTTCATTAGCCCCTTGTTTTCAAACTTACAGGTAAATGAGGGAAAAGATAACAGAGAAAAGACTTATTTTATATTTTTGTGACAGGTTTCTGCAGTGGTGTGTTTGTTTTTTGGGTTTCTTTTTTGTTTGTTTTTTGGGGTTTTATTTTACCTCAAAGCTGCTTACTATGAATTTGAAGTTGCAGACGGATAAAGCACTCCAGCCTTCCCTGAAATGGAAGGTCTCCTCCCAGCTCAGCAATAATATATTTCTGTAATAGCTCACAGCAGGGCTGCACAAGAGCTTGGGGCAAGGAAAACTCCTTGTATGTTTCTCATTGACAGAAGGATTTAAGGGGATAGAGAGAAATTACCCAACAGGATTTGTCCAGGACTCCAGAGTTGATGCTACAATATAAAGATCACCAGAAGACCGGCAATAGATATTTTCTCAGACTCTTAGTGGGACATCTGACATGGAAAACATTGCCTGTAGCATCAGGTGTGGGAGAATGACAGGGTCTCCCAGCATGATTTTCTAAAAAAGTGTGCTTCTTCTGATAAGTATCAGTGTATCCTTCCAACAATTTCATCACCCTCTTGTTCAAGCATTTGTGACCACACAAAAGAAGTAACAAGGATCTAGGATGGAAAACAATGGCATTTCTGAAACAACAGCTTAGGAGTCCTCAGAAATGTGCTTGAGCCAGAGGGCAGATACAGCCAAGCACAGCAAGGGGACATGTTTCAGTTCTTCTGGGAAGAAGCTAAAAAAAAAAAAGCAGCCCTTATCCAAACACAAGGACAGATTTTCCCTCTGCCTGCACCTTTTCCAATTAAGAGCCCTGCAAACCAGGTGAAGCTGTTGGCAAACAGGGTGGCAGCTTTTTACACTCCCTTTCCATCCAGAGGGATGCAGAGGGATAGGACCCTTGGGGCTGTCTACGACACCTATGTGGCATACCTGAATGTATGATGACTCATGGGGGACTGACAGCCAAGCTTGGGTCCAGAAGTAGCAAATCACATCTCCACAGTGCTGAATCCAAGCTGATTTAGCCTTCCCAATGCATCTTTGTCCCCTTAGGTATGGCTCTCAAACACATCAACACTGCCTCCAGACCTGACCTGGGACATAGAGACCTGAGCACATGCTGTAAATCTGCTTTCCACTTCAAAACAAGACAGGCTAACTTCTAGTCCTTGGACAGGGCTGTACTGCATCTGCACAAACATGGTAGCCAGAGATGGCTGGAAAGGAGATGTTTCTGACCCGAACTGGAAAAGCTATCCCTATCTCATCTTAGGGATTCTTCACCTGATGTGTGTCAGCAACTTTGTCTAAATCACCAGAACATCTTAGCATCTTCATTTATAAACAGGAGCAGCAAGGTTTGATGGCAGCTACACCTAGTTTCAGTCTGGAACAAGATGCATCCTGCATCTGCTCAGGGTAACAAGAGACAGGAATGCTCAGAGGGGCGAGACAGGCACAGCTCCCCTTTGCAGCAGGGTCCTGCCCAGACCAGCATGAACCGATCACTGGACACTGCTTTCAGAGTGCCTTTGGAAAGAAGCTTTCCCACTCTACTTGTGTCCTGCACAGCACATTTCCTTATTTGAATTTGATTTTCACAGACTCTAACCAGAAATGGCACAGAAGGACACCTTTTTGCAAGTTTTACTAACCCTCCGCTCAGAAGCAGACAGCTGCTGAAGACACCTTTAAGACATCAGTCACATACCAGAGCTGGGCAGAGACAGTCTGAGAACAAACAAGCAAAGGCTCCTAACTGAAAACACTGGTCCACTTTTAAGACTGCCTTTAATTTCAATCATAGCCAGTCCAGGAAGCAACCCAGGAAACCACCTTCAGCTAAGTGTTTTTTGGGGGGTTTTTTTAGGTTTTGTTTTTGGGTTTTTTTTAAATAATAAAAAAAGATGAAACCTCTCTAACCCCAGCTATTCCAGGACTCTCAGGCTATAAAAGCAGATGCAACACAGCAGCAAAGCCACCTGGCCATGAGAACAGTCAGTACCAGTGAGTGTCGGCCGCTGCAACGCTGTGGCTGATGGCTGAGAGCGCTGCTCGCAGAAGCTCAGGGCTCTGGATGAACAAGCTACAGAGTATGATAGATTGAGTAAAGATCAGAGCTAAAAACTGCACTCAGGTCTCAGATGGCCACTACTGCTTCTTCAGACCAGTCTATTGACTTCTCCACATACCAAACAAGAGCTCACTGACTCGGTCCCTACCCACCCACAAGTGTGGATTGCTACAGTGGTGAGCTAGTGTCGACTTGTGCTATTCACAGACTGCCCAGTGCACCACATCCCACCGGGAAGGCAGGGAGGTGAAAACAAAAGAGCACAAAACAAGAAATCCAACAAGTGTGCAAATCTCATAACAGAATGGAAGTCAGAAAGACAGCACATCCCCCTCTTCTTGCAGGAAAGGACCATTTGGATGCCTGATTTATTTGGCAAGGTCTTTTATAAAAGACAAGCAAGTAAAACTAGATTCAACACCAACTGACCAATGACTGAGAACCACCAAGCTAAATACCTCCCTGGCAGTAAATCAGAGTTAGGCCTTGATCTCACAATGTGACTTGCAGGGGCGTGCCTATGCCAGTTCCACACAGCCCTCCAAGCCTGCAGAAGTCTACCCATGAAAGGGCAGGGAAGATGATGAGTTACAGCTTTTAAATGAGTGAACTTACCGAAGCTGCAAAGTAGTAGGCGTAGCTGTCGTGCGGGTTCCACTGCACTGCCCCGATGTCCCACTTGCTCTGCCGGGAGATCTTTCGATGACCCTCGTTTGGTGCATCCAGGTTGACTATGTAGAGGAAACGGCGGCTGCAAGACACATAAAGAGCTTGTATTGCACAGGACTGATCTCGAAACCCTGAGCTCACATGTAGCTCATCACAGCCGTGGGCCTAGAGGACCAAAGAAGAGAAGCATTTGACAAGACAGATGAAAATACTATTCCTGAGAACACTTGACCACAGATTTCCAAAAGGGCTGTATTTTAAAAAATATATTAAGAGACACCCTGAAATTTGACAGAATTTGCAAATGTAATGGGCAGCTCAGGCCACAGAAAGCCTCAGATAACTCAGACACAAAAGGAAGCGCTGGGAAATGGTGCAAAAAATACACTTTGCTGGGCTAATGCAGCAGCAGCAGAGCTGAGGTGGCACAGGGCTGGGTGCACAACGCAATAGCTTCCCAGGAGCTGGCAGCAGCCTAGAGAGGTTGCTCTGAACAAGAGCTAATGAGCCTTGACAAACATAAGATGATTCTATGTGCCTGCATGTTTCCACACCACACTGTTTGGGGGGTTTGGTTCCACGGACAGTCCAAGTCCACCTGCACAGAGATGCAGCAGCTTATTCACATGGGTGGTCACAGCACTGCACTGATCTGGTTATATTAGTTACCTGAGCTAACCCTATATGCTGCAGAGATATATTTGCATGATGCTAAACCTGAGCTTACACATCCTACTGGATGTGGCCAACTGCCCACAAAGCTAGGCAAGGTATCATTCCCTCCACAGCGTGATTCATCTTACAAACAAGATAAACCACCCAGAAATAATTGTCAGCCAGTTGAACTCTAATGGAAGACCAGCACCAAAACATATGGAACCATATATAATTAACCACAGCAGTATCACGCCTGTGAGCTGCGTAGCAAACATACAGCTGCTCTGAGAACTGTGAATTTTCCCAAGAGAAGGAACACAAAGAACATCTTTGCTGCTTTTCCAGGCCAAAGTCCTCAGGGTTTCCTACTCCAAAGAGTGAAGATGCTGAGCTCTCTGAGGCTCTCACACAGCTCAGCTTTAAAATAACTGAGACAAATCCTGAAGGGCATATAGGAGAGGTCTGGAAAGCAGAGGGCCATGGACCTTGTGTTGAATTGCAGGCAGGCCATCCCCAGCTTGCTGGGGGATGAAGTAGTTCATAGCTCACCCACCGTATTGCTTTACTAAGAAACTGCCAACATCTTTAAAAAACACATTTCTTAGAATAGCTTCTAAAAAACCATGTAAACCAAATAAGGGAGCTCTGAAACCGGGCAGGTGTAAGGAGGGAGAGGAATCAAGTCAGACCCAAACCAGCTGCTGAGCTGGTTATTCCAGTGCAGGGCTGCTGGACTAGAGGGTTTACATGGAAGCGAGCAGGCCTCCAAATTGTATCAAAGGACCTGTTTCCTCTAAGACTGACCAAAGGTCAGCAGCACCCATTAGATCCTGAATTTGAAGTGAACATCCTATTTGGTGCGGTAATTGTGTCACTGCCAGTGAGACAGGAATGGCTGTTGGTACTGAAAGGCGGCAGCTGGGCAGGCAACTGCTGAGCTGTTTGAAGACTTGCCCTGGAGGTGGGTGCACAATGCCAAGGCCTCCTGGGAGCTCTGGCAGCCGGGACTCTATGGCACTTCCTGCTCTTGTTGAGTATCATCCCACACTGAACCAGCAGAGGAGCTGGTCAGAGAGCTTGGCTCCTCTGCCCAAATACATCACAGGAATATTTGGGGCAAATTTTGTCTTAAGGAAATGATGTAATCTGTATTTCAAGCAGAATCCAAACAGTACTTCACAATGCTCCACCTCCCACAAGTGGATTTGGGAAAGTGTGCATCAGGAAAGCTGATTTTATTGTGCTGTCATTGCTGGCTTTCCACTCTGTATCCCATTGGAAATGTGGCCCAGAATCCTTTTCATCAAGCCTTGAACAGAACTCAGCTGCACCTTTCTGAAACAATACATCAGCCCTTCAATTGAGGTCAGCCTGAAGGTTGCTGATTTGGCTCGTGGAAATGATTGTCAGACATTTCTAATGGGGACTGTCACACTCACCCCGAGAGGACTGCGCGCTGTCCCAGGCAATCCACTGACATCGCAGTCGCCTGTTGAAGAGAAACAGAGAACAAAACTAAATTATACCTGTCAGGTCAACTTCTCAATCAAACACACAGCTCTGGGGAGGAGTTCAGGAAAACCTGCCAGCTCATCTTCAAGGTACAAACTGCTATGCTAAGAGTCAAGGCTGATATCCGTCAGGGATGGCAGAAGTAACGTCCTCTTAAAGAAGCAGAGATTTTGGGGTGCAGGACAGCACACAGAAAACATCTTTGTCAGAGTAAATGAAGACAAAACCTGGCAGACAGCATTACCAGCACTGAGACCTTGCTCCCTTCTCCCAGCTCTGGCCATCACAGCTGCAGCCCTTCAATCAGCAATCTCTAGTAATCCGTATTAATCAGCCTCTGCTCCTGCTCAGGAGCTTTCTCAGTCTCTCTCTCTCTCTTCCACTGCAGGGTCAGATTTAATTATATATGTACCAGGAGACAGAAGTGCAACAAGAGATGGCTGAGAGGCATCAGAATTTACTTTGGCATTGCTTGTAAAGAAGGCTAAGAGATGACTTAAATGCCATGAGAAGGAAAAAAAATAGACTGTTTGAACACTGTCTCCCCCTTATTCCATTCAGAGTGGAATCAGCTGATCATCTCATTTCACTGCCAAGAGAATAAAGGAAAATTTTACTTTGAAAGCTGAACAGTTCGGCCCATAAACACAGATATGACTTCAATGCAGTTTTTAGCATTCACAGTACAAAACCTGAACTTGTCCTGTATTCTTCAAACTAACTGCTGTCATCTTCAAAGCCACCTCTCGGAAAGCTCAGGATGTCTCTGCTGCTGTTCGGGATTCTAAGTGCTCTCAACGTGGACGTAACAAGACTCCAGGATGTCCCACAGTTACTACTTACAAGCATCACCAAAACCAGACAGACAATATGGCAATCCCACTCCACTTCAGATTTGACAGGAGAATAACCAGCACAAAAACCTATTTTTTTCAACCAGGGCCCCATTTCTTGCTTGCAAGTACCCCAACTAAGGGAAAAACAGCATCACAGGCTCCTTCCTCACTAGAGACCAAGAGCCCACATGGACAAGAGCTTCACCAAGACGTCACAGAAAACCCCAAGCTTATATTTATATCCCAACCAAGCGGAGTTTAACTGCTTTTGCTGCTCCAGGAACAACCTGCTTTCATTGCTTGTTCCTAGGAAGCAAATCCAGTCTATGGACAAGGTTTTCCTAGTCCTAAAACTAATGCTGTAAATAAGAAGCCAGTTTAAAAATCTCTAAATGGTAAAGGAATAATTCCAGCTTCCTAGATTTCATAGCACCTTGTAGATCTACAAAGCCGATTACTAAAAGCAAGCAGGAGAAGGAAGTTTTCCCAGATGATACACATTTCACTTGTGAGGAATTAAAATGAGGATCACTAAAGCAATTACTGGAACCAGAACTTTCTCATGTGATGAAGAGTTAGTCAGACAACATATTTCACACAGCTGTGGCCATCTTTCCTCAAGGCAGAAAAAACCCTTCAATTTAAAGTGGTTGATAATTTCACATACAAGTTTATTTTTTCTGGTGTTGACATCAGGGTTTCATAAATCCTTAGAAGTGGTTTTCAATAATGAATATTGAATATTGGTAAACTGTTTTATTTTTCAATAATGAATATTGGTAAACTGTTTTTTCAGGCATTGGACACCATAAAATGTAATAAGCAATTAGAATGAAATAAAAAGCTTCACATGTCAGGCTACTACTCTTGTGGGTCACAAACAAAGTCATTTTGTGGCAATAAATAAACAGTTCCTTATTTAGGCAACAGGAAAACAAACAAACAAACAACAAAGCACACAGCTATCACCTAATGCTCTTGCTGTATTGATACCTCAGTCTTCACAGCACAACCTTCCAGAAGGGGGGAGTTGAAACTTAACAAACCGACTTGAAAGCAGCTTTTATCCTAAAACAACAACCAGGACAGCTAGAATTGCTGTTTATGAGTAACAGTTATGTGAATAAGCACAGTAGGAGTACCACACATTTGAAAACCAGCTCTGAGCCCACAGCCCAGGCAGCATCTTCTCAGACTTCAAAGGTCTGCTTTGGCATCGCACTTGATTTCTGCCAGGCAAGCCAAGAAAAACACCTTTTCATGTCTCAACTTAGGTTACTTTTGAATCTAGCTTCATTCTCTCCACCTGAAAGGCAACAAACCAGCCCAATTTGCCAAGGCTATACTGGTTTTCAAGAGCTGCAAACTGTTAGCAAAAAAGACCAGCTCCCTGCGTACCTTACTTTCTGTCTACACACCGAGTTGCTACAAATGGTATTGTTTCACCGTTGGACATGGTGAGTTTTACTCTCCTTCTGATGGCACAGACAGCCTGACAACAGCCTGTGGGTCATGTTTAAATAAGAAGAGTACAGAGACTGGTAGGGGTGGGATTTTGGAGATAGCGTGGCCTACAGGCAGAGCTCAAGCCTCGTGGAGGATTATTACAACCAAGGTGTTTCAATTTCTCAAGCTTGGCTTTCCCATCTGCAAAAACATTTGTGGAGACTCCAAAAAAACCCCTCAAGCATAAATATATAAATGAGTTTAGCTTGAAGGAGCAGTCTAGCAGCCCCAGCCACTGAACCTCTCTAGTTTCAGACGAGAGCACAGACAGGTCAGAATGGCTCTAAAGATCACACCAGAGCACAACAAGGTGACCAAAATCCCAGTGGTTAACCTCTCTCTGGAGGTACACGCCTGCACACCAGCAAGATTGAAACCAACTGCTGCAGAAAGGGATGGAAACACCTGCTCCCTCTCCCACACACCACTCATTATGAATAAGCAATCAAACCACGAGGCTGCGCATCTCCTGAGCCAGATGCAATTGGAATCTGTGATCTAGGAAGACGTACCTTCGTACCTCATTACCAGTTTCCTGAAAGCAAATCTTCAATAGCACATGAGGCCACTTTTAACATTTCTTCAGGGAGGAAAACAAAACCGGTACAAAGCTTTTGAGGTATGAAAGCAAAAAACTTTGTGAGTTTACAGCGGGCAGGCTGGATATAGCACACAGGATTCAATTTTCCTGTTGGCAACGGTGAACACGCAGCTGACATCGCTCCAGCACAACAGGACAAACCAGTAGATGAGAGTTTCCAGAACTACTTTTTAAACCTTTTTGTGTTTCCTTTTTTTTTAACCCTTTGTGTGTTTCCGGCTGAAGTAGTTCATAGCTCACCCACCATACTGCTTTACTGAGAAACTGCCAGCATCTTTAAAAACCACATTTCTTAGAATAGCTTCTAAAAAACCATGTAAACAAACTCTGAGGGGAGTTCTACTGTAAGCAGCAACTCCAAAAACACAAGCTGACCTTTTTGC